AAGGAAGGAAGGAAGGAAGGAAAGAAAGAAAGAAAGAAAGAAAGAAAGAAAGAAAGAAAGAAAGAAAGAAAGAAAGAAAGAAAGAAAGAAAGAAAGAAAGAAAGAAAGAAAGAAAATAATGGCTGGACACCAGTGGCGTATGCCTGTAATCTTAGCTACTCAGGAGGCTGAGATTTGAGGCTTGTGGTTTGAAGCCAGTCCAGGCAGAAAAGTCCTCAAATAGGCATCAAAAAGCCAGAAGCAGACCTGAGTCTCAAGTAGTAGAGGGTTAGCCATGAGCTAAAAATCTCAGGGAAAAAGCCCAGGCTCTGATTTCAAGCCCCAGGACCAGGGTAAATACAAGCAGGAGCTGGTGGCTCATGCCTGTACTCCTACCTATAGGAGACTGAGATCAGATGATGGAGGTTCAACAGCAGATAAGGCAGTAAAGTCCGTGAGATGCTCATCTCCAATTAAACACCATAAAGCCTGAAGTAGAGCTTTGGCTCAAGTGGGAGAATGTAAGCCTCAAAGCAAAAGCAGCTCAGAGACAGTGCCCAGGACCTGAGTACAAGCCTCAAGAACTGGCACAAAAAGCAAACAAAAAAATCTCCTCCTACCATTACTTATTCTGTTCAACTTGTTCTAGATATTTTTTTTGTATTTGTTTTTTCTGTCAGTCATGAGATTTGGTCTGGGCACTGTCCCAAAGCCCTTCTGCTCAAGGCTAGTGCTCTACCACTTTGAACCACAGCTCCACTTCCAATTTTCTGGTGGTTAATTGGAGATAACAGTCTCATGGACTTTCCTGCCTAGGATGGCTTTGACCTGCAATCCTCAGATCTCAGCCTCCTAAGTAACTAGGATATAAGCATGAGCAACCAATGCCTGGCTCTCAGTTCTTTTCTCCATACTTCAGTTTCTTAATAGTATCTATCTCTCAGATATCTTTACAGCCTCATTGAACACAATTCATATTCCACATAACTCATTCTTTTAGGTGCACAACACAATGGCTTTTAATAAATTTATCCAGTTGTGCAGCCTGCAGCAAATCTAGTTTTAGAATATTTCCATTATTATAAACATTTCTTCATGTCTATGTGCAGTCAATTCCTGCTCCAACATCCAACCAATACTGACGTACATTCTGTACCATACATTCACCTTGTTTACAAAATTTGTACACATAGAATTATACAACAGGTAGTCTTATAGATCTTTTTATGTTTTTGAGGTCCATTAATGTTACTATTCTTTCTTCTTAAATTGCTGAATAGTACTGTGACCTCTCATATTTAAGCATTTCCTTTTTGTCTTGGACCACTGGGTTCCAGGTTGTTTTTCCTGTCCCAGCCTAGCTAAACTCAACAATACCTCAAAAAAGCCCTTTTTATTAACTTGTTCATTTATTTTCATTTCTCCTTTTCATAACCAGGTATCAATTGGTACTTTTAAAGAAATTTGTGTGTGTGTGTGTGTAAGCACGCATGTAAATGCACACTAACAGGATTTGAACTCAGGGCCTCATGCATCTAATTCTTTTGCTTTGACAAAAGTAGTAACCCAAGAAAGGAAAAAGTACAAATAAAGTTAAGTAGTAAATGGTTGAGTGAAAAATCTGGAATTTTTTGTAGATGACTACACTTCACTGTCATAATTGAAACTACTGAAGTATTTATTCATTAATAAAAATCACATTGTTTCTGATGAGATATACTGGAAACTTGACACTAAATTTATTTTTAACATTTTTGTTTTAGTAATTATTAAGCTATTTTCAGTTTTGTAGCTAGATGGTTGTCAAACTGGAAACTACATTTACTAACTTCCCTTGAAAGCTGTTTGCAATATTGCGATTGAACCCAGGGCCTGGCACATGCTTGGCACACGTTTTACCACTTGAGACATGCCCTACCCCTTTTTCTTGTACTTTTTTTTTTTAAGTATATTGTTAATTTTGCCCAAGTGGGCTTCATGCACGACGTTTCCACTACTCAAGTAGCTAGAATTACAGGAACAGCCCACCACACTGAACTCTGGTGAGCTTTTGACAATGCATTGTGAACAGAAGTCATCTGTGATGCTTCTGTTTTGTCTTAGTAGTGCCTATCATTTCCTCCCTACCTATTTGCCCTTTTTGTGTATTCACAATTGATAAAATTTCAAGTAATCAGAATTCGGACAAGGTATGTATATTGAGCTGCCTCTATAACTCTGCACTTCTTATTTCTAAGACTATTCTATGAAAAAGAAACACTCTTCTCTCTATTTAAATCACTGTATTTTAGATCTCTTTGCCTCTATCATAACAAATACCCTTTAAAGAACACCACACAGGACAGGTGTGGTGGCTGTACTCCTAGCTACTGGGAAAGCAGAGATTGGGTGTTTTAAGATTTGAGGTCAGCCCCTGCAAGAAGTTAGCCATACTCCATATCAACCAAGAAGCTAGGCTTGGTGGTGCCTTCCTCTTTTGCCAGCTATGTGGGAATCAAAACTGAGAAACTAGGAGGGCAGGTGTCCTAAAGGCATTTTCCACTTACTTTAAATTTACAAGGGGCTAATTTACAAGCTGTAATTGCAAATTTGGCTTAAGAAATCAACACTTGATTCTTTTGGGGAATACTGCACAGAGAAAGACTGCATGTGGTAAAAGTCAACATCAATGACTGAGTCAAAGAGCAATTCAAAAGAGTTGGGACTTTGAATGTAAAGAATGCTAGCAAATTCACTGCAAAAAATTAAAAAAAAACAATTCTAAGTCATACTAATATAATTTATATTAAATAAAACACCATGAATTAGGTAAATTTTCTTTGTGACTCTTTAAATTTTAGCATTAAAAATAAATTATCAAATATTACTCTTATTTTGTTCTTTCCTTAGTTGTTTAAAGGAAATCAGTAGGAAAATACAACAAAAATTCCCATTTCTTAATATTTGGGGGAAAAAAAGCCAAAATGTACTAATAACACTAGAACCAGAAAGTAAGCAGAAAGAGAAGATTCTCCATTAAAAGAGGGACTGATAAACATTTTAAAACAGAGGATCTGAAATTTTTCAAGAAGGAAGAAAGTATTTGCCACTTTGTTCAAGTATTTGTTTCTATCCTTCTATAATAAATGTTTTCCTTTGTACATCTTGATATGCTTTCTCTTGTCAGTATCTCTAAAGCTGATACACCAAAGGTTAATTTTCAAACATGTATCACAAGGGAATATGGAGTTGGTTTGATTTTTATTGTTACTTCCACAAAACTATTTCTTAAATTATTTTCTTAGGTATAGTTAATATGGTTTCTGGTGATGGTAGAATAAAAATTAACAGCCAAAAATGTATAATCTTATCTTAAATATTTTTAAAGTATTTTTCTAAGCATGCTATCTACATGCATGGTCAGCCCATATGAACTGATGATTACCACCGACTTTAATCAAGGACTACTTCTACCATAACTCCTATTAAAGATGTCAAAAAGCCAGTATACAACAAATATGCTTATTTGTTTTGCTTATGTTTCATGCTGGTACTAAGCTGAGAACTTCTGATTTTTTGCTGGTACTAAGGTTTCCCTCTAGCTCGGCTGGCTTGTTTAGCTATAGTGTTCTACCATTTGAGCCATACCTCAAGTCTGGCATTTGCTGGCTTAATTGGAGATAGACCCTCCAGAACTTTTTCTGTCCAGGCTAGCTTTGACCTCAATTCTCTATATCTTACCCTCTGATTAGCTACAATTAGGTGTAAACCACCAGTCCCTGGCAAAATGAATATTAAAAACCAGAACTAAAAGCACCTAAATACTGAGGTATATTCCAGTGAAATATTACTACAATAAATACTGAAAGGCTTTTCAAAATACAACTTTTTTTTTTTTGAATTAGCTTCCATATTGTTTAGAACTTTATAAATCACTTTTTTTTGTTGTTGTTGTTGCTTTTTTTTGTGCTGGTCCTAGTTCTTGCTAACTCAGGGGCTGGATGCTGTCCCTGGACTTCTTTTGCTCAAGGTTAGCAGTAGTCCAGGCTTGCACTGGTTATCTGTAAATAGAATTTCTCAGACATTTTTGCTGAGGCTGGCTTTAAGCCACAATTCTTATCTCTCAGACTATTGAAAGGATTGCTAGCTAGCATCTAGCCATTCTATGAGGGGGGGGTGGGGGGGGGGGAGGAGGGGGGGAGAAGAAGAGAGGATTGTACATGTGCTCAGATCCTGAGTCTGAAACTCAAGACCTAGACACTGTACTTCAGCTTTTTTGCTCAAGGCTATTACTCTTCCAATGGAACTATAATTCCACCTGGAAATAAGAATCTCCTAAGACTCTCCTGCCTGGGCTGGCTTGGAACCAGGATCTTCAGAACTCAGCCATCTGAGTGATAGGATTACAGACACAAGCCACTAGTGCCTGGCTTCTGGTCTTTTTGAAATGCAGATTTCAACCTACCCAATTGTTTTCCCTATCTACTGTTTGAAAAATATTGAAAAAAAAAATACAAAAACCCCCCAAAGTTAGGAATATCTAAGAGGTTATTTACTATGGTAGTTTAAAATAGTGAAAAAACTGGACACAACTTACTATTTTCACTAATAAGTAAACAACTAAGGTGTTAAATGCATTGCAATATAAAAGCAGTTAACAGTTTAAATAAGCTCTCATGTGTACAGTATGTACACTTATAAATGTGAGCAACACAGTATAGGGTGATAAAATTAGGATAACAATTACATAGATTTTTAGCAATAACATTATATTTATGAATATATTTATAGATTATAATATGGTGGGAAAAAGCAAAGGGGTGATTTTGTCAAAAAAATGTACTCATTACCTGACTTATGAAACAATACCCCTCTCTGTATAACACTTTGGTAACAATAAAGTTATATTTTAAAAAAGAATATACTTTAAATGTGTATATACATTGTAGATTTTTATCCAATGTTTACTTGCACAAATGAACCTTTTGCACACATCATTTAGTCAAGGTTATTCTCTATACCATCTTCTTTGTTTCCCCACCCCATGTATCCTGTTCACAATACAGACCATGCACAGGGGGGCTGAGGTGTTATATATGGTAGGTTTACTCTGCTTCCTCTTTCTACACAGTCAGTGTAAGAACACAACCTGTGGTTAAGTATCAGGAGGCCCTGAAAGTATATATTTTAATATTAACTAATGAGGTGGGATGCACAGGTAAAGGGTGGTTAAAGAAATATGTATATGCATATACATTCAACATATATATGTATATACATATATAATATTTTAATTCTTAAGTTTACTTCAAATGAAATTTGAAAAGCATATTTGAAGCAAATTAAAGGGGTTGCTACGTTTTGAATGTGAATTGGTAAAATGGAAGGTAGAGATAAGAAAGAATGAAGATCAGCACAATCAGATACCCATGCTTAAATCAATAAATAAAAGAGAAAAAGAGAAGTTGTTAAAAAAAAAAAGATTAAAATCATGTGGACTAAGGAAGATTATGGAGGCATGTAGCAACAGCTGAGGGGAAAAAGCATGAAGTGGGCTGAAAAGGCAGGAAGAAAAGGCCTAACAACTGGTAAACTGATCCATTCCTCATTGGTGGCTCAACTGTATAAATAAAAGAGTGGCAGCTTAGTGGGAAAGTACTTAGCAACTCTGTTTACACAGACAACAGAAAGTGCCACTAGAGTGGCAAATTGAACTGTGCAAGGCCAATTAACCCTTTCACCTTAGTGTTTTATACTAGCCATCTTACTTACTGTGCCTCTGTTAGATCTACACTGATATGTGTTAGGACCAAATGCAATTATAAATCATTGTTACATGTATTGATGAATTCTGCAAATTCCATGAAGCACATCCATTTTATTTAGTGCTCTGAATACTTTCTTTTCTACACTCATCTGGTTTTAATTAAGAAACACTTTCAAAGGAAGCAAGGTTATCCAGAAACTCAAATACACATGTCCTTTATTAAACTAAGAATTGATTACCATTCAAGTTTTTAGCATAAAGGGGTTTTTTTTTTTTGCTTTTTTTTTAATGTTAAGTTGACCTCAAATTGCTTCTAGGACAAACAGGAAAATATGAGAAAGAGTAATGTATTTATGGGCAAAAATGTAACGAGAAATCCTAATATTTGCTGAAGAGGTCTATAAATCTTAAACAGATCTTACAGCTGCTGCATAAGCATTACACCTATGATTACAATTCATTACTTATAAGAAAAACCGTATCTTGAAAGATAATATGCATTTTTAGGACAGTGGAAGGTTTACTGCTGATTCATTTTTCTCCTTCCAAAATGCAGTCAACATGTCTTCTTTTAATTATGCATATTTGAGAACAAGGATGCTATCTTCCACGTACCATATAGTCTAGAAAAGTGTCATGTACTAATAAAGTATACTCATGTTTACCTTGACATGTCATGAAGTGCTAACATATGGAAAACGCATTGTTTCTATAAAGAATAGCCAATAGCAAAACTGATTGTTCAATGGCAAACTAAGTAATAAATGTTTATTCATTAATCTTAACAACATCTCTTTCCCTATTAGCCATACTTCCAAAGACACCAACACCATCCCACTATCTGTTAATTGTCACTCTTATTAATAATAAATTTTAAATACAAATAAAAAAATCAATAGATTTTTTTAAAATCAGGAAAGGAAAATAAGATCCTTGTGGCCTTGGCCTTTCTCTCAGCCTTTTTGTGAGTGCAGGCCACCCACTAGCCTCCCCTATTTTTCTCTTTCTCTCTCTTTTCCCCCATAACAGCACACCATTGAAAAAACAACCAACCAAAATGAGCAGTCAATGCTAAGAAAAAACAAATCTGCTCTTTTGAACAAATCAGAGTATATTGGTATTTTTCTTGCAGGTAGGTAGAGAATACAGTGGACACTTACCACACTGCTGGCCTCCAACTCCCTTAAAATAGTCTCAAGCACAAAAGTAGAATCCTATACTTAGCACTTAAATACCAGAAAAAATTCAAGCCTTTATCTTAGCATTTGTGTGTGTGTGTGTGTGTGTGTGTCCACAGATCCTGAGTACTGCCACTGAGCTTTTGTGCTTAAGGCTAGTGCTCAACCATTTGAGCCACAGCTCCACTTCCTGCTTTTCTGGTAGTTAATTGGAGATAAGAGTTTTATGGGGCTGGGAATGTGGCTTAATGGTACAGTGTTTGCCTAGCATGCATGAAGCCCTGGGTTCAGTTCCTCAGTACCACGTAAGCAGAAAAAGCTGGAAGTAGTGCTGTGGTTTAAGTGGGAGAGTGCTAGCCTTGAGCAAAAAATGTTCAGGGACAGTGCCTAGGCCCTGAGTTCAAGCCCTAGGACTGGCAAAAAAAGACAAAGAAAAAGAAAAAAAATCAGAAGGTAATTAAACAAAAAGAAATAATTAAACATCTAAAAAAAAACTCCTATAGTCATATACAGATGGCAAATGAAAAAGTACAGTATAAAGAAATACAAATTAAAGAGACAAATCATAAGGATATGATGTTACTGCTTGGGCTTGAGTTTAGAACTATTCCCAAAACAGGGGACCAAACTACACCTATCCAAGAACTGACAATTATTATTTTTCCCACTAAGTAAAACAAAACACCTCAATGAATCCAATATATGTACCATTCTCATTTCCACCTTCCCTCCTGTATAGAGAGTTCATTAAAGGTCTTTTCTCTCTTTTGAAAAGATGATATGACTGTCTAATATACAATTCTTTAAATAATCTAATGTAAAATAAAAATTTCAAACTGAAAAGGAGAAAAATCCATAATTAACAGACTTTTCTACGCCCTTCGTATTTAATCAACATTTAGATATTTAATTGTGAATATTTTTTGTTTATTAATTTGAAAAGGTCGTCTATTTGCTATGTAGAATTATTTGATATATTTTGTAATATAGGATGAGTTTTAATAGTTTTCTTTCTAAAATTCTTCTCCCAAGTTTCTTCCATCTTTTTCAACCCTCATCAACTAAATATACATGCAGATAGTTTGGAGGGTGTTTTTTTTTCGGCAGTACCTAAGAGTCGAACTCAGAATCATGTATTTGCTATGTGGTAGTATACCACCAAGCCACATCTCTAGACTTTTCTTGCTTTTGTTATTATTTCGAATAGGGTCTCACTTTTGTGGGGGCAAAGCTGGATCATGATCTTCCTATTTACATGCTCACAGGAACTGGGATGACAGGTGTGAGCCACCACACTTCACTAGACTTCAAGTAACTTTTTAACATGACACAATATTGAAGGAATACTTAATAGTTCTCTATTCACGCGTCACTCAATCAAAGAAACGTGAGTGGAGAGAAATACAACAACAAACTCTATAGAAATTTCTATTATTTCTTGATTGTCTAATACTCATATATTGACAAATCGGAAGTGCTTTCAGTAAAACTGGGCAATGCTCCAGATTGCAGAAATAGGCCCGATATTTACAAACAACATATAGCAATTGTTACCACAGCATCACACTCACTCTCTCTCTCTCTCTCTCACACACACACACACACACACACATCAACTCTGGTTAAACACTATCACTGAGGTGCACACATAATTGCTCCACTTATTGAAAATCAATTATTGCTATGGCATGCTCTTCTTTAACTTGAATTACCTAGTATATAAAGAGTAAACAATATAATGATATTCTTACCATGTAGGAGTTATATAAATTTAACTAGACTGCCTCCACATATTCTCATTGAAAAAATATCAGAGACAAGCTTTCTTGCAATTAAGGATAAAGTTTAATGATATATGGTAATGTTTAAAAGTGGCTAAATGTCTACTCAAGAACTTCCATTCATGCATGTAAGTGGTAGCTAGTTTAGTAGCTTTAAGAACTTCTATGCTTCTAACTATACAAAGCTATCTGATGGAAATGTGAGAGAAGCTGAAGAAGCTTCAGACATTTCCATCCAATTTTAAATTTACAGATATGTGAAAAGCATTCTATTATAGATCAGACCATATTTAGAGCTCTATTCATTCTAAAAACCTTTACGTCTAATATAAAGAGATACATGCACAAGGGTTTAAAAAATTGACTATGATGAGATGAAAGTGCTGATAGATTTAATTTCTAAGTTGTTTTTGTTAGTACAGGTAAAATTATATATTTGTGAGGGTTTTATTCCAACCTATTTTTTCCTGCAAATCTTGCTTTTAAGTTATGATTTTGCAGAACATAAAACTATATATAGATGCAGAAATACCTATACTTGGTATTTCTCAAAAGAAAATACTAGAAAGCAAGTTGAAAGAATACCAATAAAGAATATTATCTTCATTTTCCCCCCAGCTCATCAACGTTTGATGAAACTTTCTGCAAGGCAGTCAGCTAAAGTAAATGGATAAAAAGACTACTTTCTCTTTGTTTCAGAAATGTAACTTTTCTTCAACCTTTTCACTTAGCTCATTCCCATGACTTTTCCATTTTTCTTTGTTATGAATTTCAGGGAGTATTTATTTTTTGGGTAGTTCCCTGGCTTATCTTTCTCAGAATCAAAACTTAACAGATTTATGGGATTAGAAAGTCTTTAGGTTGGGGCTGGGAAGGTGGCTCAGTGGTAGAGCACTTGTCTTGCATGCTCGAGGCCCTGGGTTTGATTCCTCAGCACCACATAAGAAAAAAGAAAAAAGCCGGAAGTGGCGCTGTGGCTCAAGTGGTAGAGCGCTAGCTTTGAGCTGAAGAGCTGAAGGACAGCGCCCAGGTCCAGAGTTCAGGCCCCACGACCGGACCCCAAAAAAAAAAAAGTCTTTAGGTTATCTAGTCTAACTATTCTGAGTGAGAAATCCTTTCTATATTTTCTCTATTATTAGCTACAAATTTTGTGCTAAACATGTGCTAGATATTTAAGAAACAGCAAGAAGAAAAAAAACAAAATCTAGATATTGACCAAATCACGTAAATATATTAAATACAATGGCATTAAAAAATAATCAAGGGGCTGGGAAGGTGGCTCAGTGGTAGAGCACTTGCCTTGTATGCATGAGGCCCTGGGTTCGATTCCTCAGCACCACATAAACAAAACAAAAAAAGCCGTAAGTGGCGTTGTGGCTCAAGTGGTAGAGAGCTAGCCTTGAGCTGAAGACCTGAGGGACAGTGCCCAGGCCCAGAGTTCAGGCC